AACCAGAACTTTCCCCTGGAGTGTACAGTCAGTGAACGCGAGGAAGAAATCATTCCAAAAAATGGCTAAACACTAGACTATCTATGAGACTCAAGTAGCACTCCGGATGACAAGCGAAAGAGCAAATGCGATACACTTTTAAACCTCCTAGCACAGTGGTCTCCAGCCTGTTCAGGTATACGGCAAGACTTCCACGCCCCCAGAGTATAAGACAAGATTCTCACTAACCTTTGAGTATATGGCAAAATTCTCACGCCCCCCCTTGGGTTACGGCAAGATTACCACCCCCCCCCCCTTGGGTTATGGCAAGATTCTCACGCCCCCTTGGGTTACGGCAAAATTCTCACGCCCCCCTTGGGTTACGGCAAGATTCTCACGCCCCCTTGGGTTACGGCAAGATTCTCACGCCCCTTGAGTTACGGCAAGACTTTCACGCCCCCTTGAGTTACGACAAGGTTCTCACGCCCCCCCCCCCCCCCCCCTTGAGTCACGACAAGATTCTCACGCCCCCTTGAGTTACGACAAGATTCTCACGCCCCCTTGAGTTACGACAAGATTCTCACGCCCCTCTTGAGTTACGGCAAGACTTTCACGCCCCCTTGAGTCACGACAAGATTCTCACGCCCCCTTGAGTTACGGCAAGACTTTCACGCCCCCTTGAGTTACGGCAAGACTTTCACGCCCACTTAATTATATGACAAGACCAACAAGACCCCTTGAGTATATAGCAAGACAGTTAAAAGTTCTCACAAGTTACATAGTATTTCCTGTGAACGGCTCACAGACACCTTATGAACAAAGAAAACTGTGTTTACCCACCTAACACCTCTGGAGTAATAATTGTGAGCCATGGAACTGACCTTTTTGTCACTGTATGTGTTAGCAATAGACATACTTATAAACGAGCTCCGAAATAACAAACAGGAAGTGGTAAACACACTTGTACAAACACATATGCTTGACATATTGAAGGGCATTGTTTAGTCACATTATTAACTCTTTTGGTTTCGGGTAAATCTTGTGGAACTGCGTGGCTCAAATGTGCGAGTTGGGATAGATATATTCAGTCACCATGTTGCGTGGAAGAAGTAGGTTCAGTAACGACAGTTTGTAGGGAAAAAAAGTTCAATAACTATGGTTTGTGGAAGAAATATGTTCAGTAGCTATGGTTTGTAGAAGAAGTAAGATGCTACTGATAAAATGCTAAGAGATGAGCAGGCAGGTTTTCGGTCAAGCAGATCCTGTACTGATCAGATAGCCACATTACGTATTATAATAGAGCAAAGCATTGAACTGAACTCACCACTTTACATTGGATTTATAGACTATGAAAAAGCATTTGACAGCATAGATAGGGAATCTCTCTGGAAATTGATGGGGCACTATGGAATCCCACAGAAAATTATCAACTTAGTAAAGGCAACATATAAAGACATGAAATGTCGAGTTCTTCATGAGGGAAAGCTAACAGACGCATTTGAAATAAAAACAGGTGTGCGACAGGGATGTCTTTTGTCGCCTCTCTTATTTTTACTGGCTATAGACTGGACTATGAAAACAGTAACTGCTAACACCAAAAATGGAATTCAGTGGACCCCTACAAAACAGCTTGATGATCTGGACTTCGCTGATGATATTGCTCTTCTGTCCCATTCACGGAATCAGATGCAAGATAAATTAAATATACTTAATGCGAGATCAAAGCAGCTTGGTCTGAAAATCCATAAAGGAAAGACAAAGATAATAAGAATAAATCAGGCAAATAGTAATGTGGTTTCTCTTAATGGCACCCCACTCCATGACGTGGAGTCGTACACCTATTTAGGCAGTAATGTAGATAAAGATGGAGGAACTGATAGAGATATTAAAATAAGAATACAAAAGGCAAGAGGGGCTTTTATAGCACTAGGGAATTTGTGGAGGTCAAAAGAAATTAAAAGAAATACTAAACTAAAAATTTTTAATTCTAATGTCAAATCAGTACTATTGTATGGGACGGAAACATGGAAAACAACCAAGGCAATTACAAATAAATTACAGACATTCATTAACTGGTGCCTGCGCAGAATAGAGGGAATAAAATGATATGATAGAATAACTAATGTAGAACTTTGGGAGAGAACTAAACAGACTCCAGTGGATCAGGAAGTGGGGAAAAGACGCTGGCGCTGGATAGGGCACACACTGAGAAAACAGGAGAACAGCATAACTAGAATGTCTTTGCATTGGAACCCACAGGGGCATAGGAATAAAGGAAGGCCAAAAAACACATGGAGAGCTCCATGCAATGGCGAAGGATAGAACGACTTGGCGTGAGTTGGTTGAGGGCCTATGCTCCATTGGGGGATAGAAAGGCAGAAGAAGAAGCTATGGTTTGTAGAAGAAGTAAGTTCAGTGATTATGGTTTGAGGCAGACGTGGGTTCAGTAACTTACAATTTAGAATGGCAGTAATCTAAGTAACCATGGTGTGAGGCAGAAGAAGGTTCAGTAACTACGGTGTGGGATACTAAATCCATTAACTACGATGCAGAAAGAAGTGGGGTCGCTAAATAAGGTTTGAGACAGATAAATGTTCAGTAACTAAGGTTTGAAACAAAAGGAGGTTCAGCAAATACGATATGCCACATTAAAAGACATAACACACTTTTGAAAACCATGCTGGAGGGAAAGGTCGAAAGCAAGAGGTGGGTAACGATACAAGTGAGAGGACAACATCAAGAGATGGAAGGGCAGCAGTCTGAGAGAGTGTACAACAGGACAAGGGACAGGGTTTGTTGGAGATCCAACCTTCACTGTGGAGTCAGCACCAGATTGATTGATTGATTGATTGATTGATTGATTGATTGAACTACGATGTGAGACAGATTACTTTCAGCAACTAATGTCTGAGGCAGAAGTAGGTTCAGTACCTACATTGTGGGACAAAAGTAGGTTCAGAACTTATGTCTGAGACAGAAGTAGGTTCACTAACTAATGTCTGAGACAGAAGTAGGTTCAGTAAATAATGTCTGAGGCAGATGTAGGTTCAGTACCTACATTGTTGGACATGAGTAGGTTCAGAGCTTATGTCTAATACAGAAGTAGGCTCACTAACTAATGTCTGAGACAGAAGTAGGTTCAGTAACTACATTGTGGGGTAGAAGTAGGTTCACTAACTAATGTCTGAGGCAGAAGTAGATTTAGTACCTACATTGTGGGACAGAAGTAGATTCAGAACTTATGTCTGATGCAGAAGTAGGTTCAGTAACTAATATCTGAGACAGAAGTAGGTTCAGTAACTACATTGTGGGGCAGAAGTAGGTTCACTAACTAATGTCTGAGGCATAAGTAGGTTCTGTAACTAATGTCTGAGGCATAAGTAGGTTCAGTAACTAATGTCTGAGGCAGAAATACGTTCTGTAACTAATGTCTGAGGCAGAAGTAGGTTATGTAACTAATGTCTGAGGCAGAAGTAGGTTTTGTAACTAATGTCTGAGGCAGCAGTAGGTTCAGTAACTAATGAGGGAGGCAGAAGTAGGTTCTGTAACTAATGTCTGAGGCAGAAGTAGGTTTAGTAACTACATTTTGTGACCGAAATAAATTCGGTAACTAAGGTTTGAAACAGAAATGGACTTCGTAACTATCTTTTTAGCACAGAAAGAATGTTCAGTAACTACGGTTTGGGACAGAAGAAGGTTCAGTATCTGCGGTGTGGGACATAAGTAGGTTCTGTGAGTATGCCGTGGAGCAGAAATAAGTTCAGGAACTAAAGTAACTAAAGTTTGCTACGGAAGAATAACTATCGTTTGGAATAGGTTCTCTAGCAATGAACTCGTTCCTATGCGTGACGTAATTTTTAGTTATTTTGAAGCCTCACCCTGGCTTTTGCCAGGGGCCCTAATATAACCCAACCTATGGATTGAACGGGGTTTCTGGGAACTGTCCACTGGTGATCCCCAACCGCATGGTGGCACTTTATGCCACCGGGTGTTTATCGCTTGGTGTGTAGAGTGAAACATCAATCAGAAGGAGGTTCTGGAACCAAAACTAGGAACAGACAGCGGTAACTTAATAGCTACTATTGGGCAGGGTAATATACCAGCTCGTTAAATGACAGAGAAGTTGGGAGGAAGAAAAAGAGTTAAACAATTCACAGTGTGTCTGCATTACTTCCGTTGTCCTTATTTTTCAAGCTTTGTCTGTCATTCTTTAGTGACACAAATTAAATTTTCTAGTGTGCATTTTCACAATTAATTTTTTTTTTCTTATTTCAGTCCGACTGTCTTTTTCTTTTTACTTTTTTTTTTTTGGTCGTCTCACTGATACCAGGTTGTAGCCCAGTGTCGTGGTTTTATGTATTTGTTTTGAGCTTTTTGGGTGGCCTGAGTGATGGATTTGTTCATCTTCTTGCAGGTTTCTGCTGAACCATTTATCCATCTCTTTCTTGGTCTTCCTCTTGCCTTCCTCCCAGAAGTTATGCTGTAGAAAGTCTCATATGCAGTTTGATCTGGCTGCATTCTCACTACATGGCTGAACCATTTCATTCTTTGTCTCTCAGGATAATCCAGACATGGTCCTATTCCGACTTTCTCTCTAATGCTGGTTTTTGTAACCCTGTCTCTTCTTGTGTTGTTAGTAACCTCGCAAAGACGCATTTCGCATGAAGTTATTTTCTATTCTAGTGCCCTTTACATTGTCAATGTTTGGCAGTGATAACATAAAGTAGGGATAACGATTCTATACATCATTCGCTGTTTGGCGAGAAGAAAGACATTGGGGTGTCTAAGCAGTGGAGCTAAGGGGTGTCTAAGCAGTGGAGCTAAGGGGTGTCTGAGCAGTGGGCTAAGGTGTGTCTAAGCAGTGGAACTAAGGGGTGTCTAAGCAGTGGAGCTAAGGGGTGTCTAAGCAGTGGGGCTAAGGGGTGTCTAAGCAGTGGAACTAATGGGTGTCTAAGCAGTAGTGCTAAGGGGTGTCTAAGCAGTGGAGCTAAGGTGTGTCTAAGCAGTGGAACTAAGGGGTGTCAAAGCAGTGGGGCTAAAGGGTGTCTAAGTAGTGGAACTAAGGGGTGTCTAAGCAGTGGGGCTAAGGGGTGTCTAAGCAGTGGAACTAACGGGTGTCTAAGCACTGGAGCTAAGAGGTGTCTAAGCGGTGAAGCTAACGGGTGTCTAAGCAGTGGAGCTAAGGGGTGTCTAAGCAGTGGAGCTAAGGGGTGTCTAAGCAGTGGAGCTAAGGGGTGTCTAAGCAGTGGGGCTAAGGGGTGTCTAAGCAGTGGGGCTAAGGGGTGTCTAAGCAGTGGGGCTAAGGGGTGTCTAAGCAGTGGGGCTAAGGGGTGTCTAAGCAGTGGAGCTAAGGGGTGTCTAAGCAGTGGGGCTAAGGGGTGTCTAAGCAGTGGAGCTAAGGGGTGTCTAAGCAGTGGGGCTAAGGGGTGTCTAAGCAGTGGAGCTAAGGGGTGTCTAAGCAGTGGGGCTAAGGGGTGTCTAAGCAGTGGGGCTAAGGGGTGTCTAAGCAGTAGAGCTAAGGGGTGTCTAAGCAGTGGGGCTAAGGGGTGTCTAAGCAGTGGGGCTAAGGGGTGTCTAAGCAGTGGGGCTAAGGTGTGTCTAAGCAGTGGAACTAAGGGGTGTCTAAGCAGTGGGGCTAAGGTGTGTCTAAGCAGTGGAACTAAGGGGTGTCTAAGCAGTGGAACTAAGGGCTGTCTAAGCAGTGGGGCTAAAGGGTGTCTAAGTAGTGGAACTAAGGGGTGTCTAAGCAGTGGGGCTAAGGGGTGTCTAAGCAGTGGAACTAACGGGTGTCTAAGCACTGGAGCTAAGAGGTGTCTAAGCGGTGAAGCTAACGGGTGTCTAAGCAGTGGAGCTAAGGGTGTCTAAGCAGTGGAGCTAAGGGGTGTCTAAGCAGTGGAGCTAAGGGGTGTCTAAGCAGTGGGGCTAAGGGGTGTCTAAGCAGTGGAACTAAGGGGTGTCTAAGCAGTGGAGCTAAGGGGTGTCTAAGCAGTGGAGCTAAGGGGTGTCTAAGCAGTGGAGCTAAGGGGTGTCTAAGCAGTGGGGCTAACTTGTTGGTGACAGCATTTGCCTTCTGTGCTCTGGCTTCTATATCTATCGAGTCTGCCATCCTCTATCAATATACTGCCAAAATATTTGAATTCTCGTACTTGTTTGTCGGCTCTGTGGCTAAGTTGAGGCGAACGCTATGTAATGCCTTGATGCCAGGTTGGATCCCAGCTGCCGGCCATGCGCCTTGCGTTGGTTTCGACAGTGGTATCAAGAGAGCCGACCGTACAGAGCAATGGCAAACTACTTGACGTGAATTTGCCTAGAAAAACCACACAACAGCCAGTGGCTCTTGGGGTTGGTTTTGCAACGTCCCATAAAGGATACGCAACTAACCTAACCGTACTTGTTTGATTGTAGTACTGTTAACTTGAATGATCATGAAATTATGTTTCTGCTTAAACTATTTTCCAAGTCCCGTTTTTCAAACTTTATTATTATTATCTGCAGCATCCCTAACATCATCACTCTTCCCATTTCCCCTCCTTTACACCGGTCTACTTTCTGTAAATGAATTATCTTGTATACTCAGTATATTTCTAATTTGTTTTCGTTCTTTATTCATTCGTTTTCATTCCATATTCTCTAGCCAGCCTGCAGAAGACTAAACATATGTGAGTATACTCTAAGTATAAAAGTATGGGGGTCCAAATAGAGCAATGATGCGCAATACAAGACTCTTAATGTCTATTAGTCTCTCTTGCTCAAGCCTACCTCACCTTCACGTGGTGGACCCTGTTCTTCCCAGCAATCCAGTTGAAGGTTGGGTTCTCAACCCCCAGCGGGAAACTGGATGGGACAAAAAAACGAGGTAAAGGCGAAAGACGAATGGATTAGCCTACTCTCCTCGAGTATGACCAACATTTACCCTTGCAAAAAAGGTGCTGAAGTTGGAGGCAACCAGCCAGGAGGCGCACCACAGCAATCAGGATGCCACGCACACACGCCATGGAAATATGTCTAAATCAGTATACTCTAAGTATAAAAGTATCCAGTCTTGACAGTCATACAGATCGAATGAATGCTTGGCTAAGCAAATACAATTATAGGTGTTTCCTCGATTCTTATGGGAGTTTCATGCTTTAAGCAAAGAAGTCTTTGGGGTGAGGAGGGGGGGGGGGGTGTGTGTGTCTTGTTGGCAGGGCCACGGGAGGTAGTGGAAAAGCAATGGCAGGAGCCGAAATTCTGAGTACTCTCCAGGAGGCAGGACAAGGTGGTTCCGAAGAGGACGATGCTCAAAGGACTGCAAGAACTTCAGGTCAAAAGAGGTGTTGCCAAACATGATCCCTGTACAGGTAGCCAAAGAAGAATAGTAAACAAACACAGAGCTGGTGTTATCTCTTGCCACAGGCTGGGGATATACTGAAGATGGGATCCGCGCACTTACGGACATTTCCAATGTTCAATGAGGATAATTTGTCGAGTACCTAACTAAATAACTGACTGACTAACTGATCGTTTAACTGACTGACTATCTAACTAACTAACTAACTAACTATCTATCTATCCATCCAACTATCAAACTAGCTAAAAATCTAACAACAACAAAAAAACTACCTATCTAACTAACTAACTAATTTAGAAACTATCTAACTAACTGTCTAGCTAACTAGCTAACTATCTAACAAACTTTTTAATTAACTAACTATCTAACTAACTAACTGGTTAACTAACTAACTTTCTAACTAACTCTGTAACTATCTAAAAAAAAAACAATTTTTCTAACTAATTACCTAACAAACTAAATATCTATCTATGTAACTCTTTATTTAACTAGCTAACTAACTAATTATCTAAATAACTATCTAACTGTGTAACTAACTAGCGAACTATCTAACTAACTAGCTAACAACTAACTAACCAACTAGCTAACTATCTAATTAACTAACCAGCTCTTTGAGAGCGACCAGTTTCTCTACAAAGAAACACAAAGCCTTGTGATAAAGCCATGTGACAAAGCCATTTGATAAAGTCATGTGATATGAACGTGTTATCAAGTTGAGTCTCTCGGATTTAAGACCCCCCCCCCCCCTCCCCCATGAACGTATTTAATCTTTGGCACACAGGTCAGCCCACTCTTACAAATTTCGAACTAGATGATGCTATGGAATGTTACGGAAAAGGGTCTGATGCTGACCACAACAATCAGAGAGGGTTTGATACTCAGAGTATACTCACATATGCTTAGTCGGTGCTTTCTTGATATCCTACCCCAAACAGGGGAAATCCACAAGTCACGGGACAGTCTAAAATTTCAGGAGGTGGTAAATACATGCAGTCGTGGGACCTAGGCTGCACTCTCTCGTGGGACGTAGGTGGGTTGGGGTTAGGGCCAGTTATAGATGTGTTGGGGTAGCTTAAAGCTTCAAAAAGCCGGGAAACCCAGTCTCACAACCCTCTAAAATTGTGGGCTGTCCTGTGACGTCATCTAGGGTATGATATTACGAAAGAACCGCTTAGTCCTTTGCAGGCTGACGCTAACACGACTGCGTGACCGAGGAGTTTAGCTTGGTGGAGCACGTCTGTGCCGTCTTCGAGGTAAATACAGGAGAAACTACAACAAGCTCCTCATGAGAACAATCAGTAGAGGTACCTTGGAATGGCTGCTGCATCGGAGGACTGAGTACGCATGGGAATGCCCAGTGTGCCAAGACGTCAATTGTGATAACGTATGATAACGTAACATAACAAAACTCAGAGAGTGCCGACTGACCTTTACAGTTTAGCACCAAAAACCCGATGCGCCACTTTATGTAGCATCAACAACCGAAGAACAACAACAGTTTCAAGAAACAGTAAGATTTCAAGAAACAGTAAGATAAGAAGAAACTCCACAGGGGAGCACGTACAGCAGGAGTCTACCAATCGTCAGTAGAAGTAATCTCTCGTCGACAAATGTTTCGGCCCACGTAGACATTTTCAGAGAGTAGGCCCACCTGAGTTCATGAGGCTCAGGGTTGGTTTCTCCTGCTGCACGTAGTATAATAGATCTGTTTTACAAAGGGCACACTGACTCTGCCCCAGTTTTCAAACACTTGTACAAAGCATCAAGGATTAGTGGATTTTGATTAGATCCCTCTTTGTTAATAAGATTTCCTCAAGAGGTTTACTTTAGCGCTAACAACTAAACAATGTGTGCATGCAAGCCTCCTAACTCACCTCTGTGTTATTTATCTTTCGGGGGAAAACAACCTCCTGTCCAATTCCATTTGATGAAAAAAAAAAAAAAATTCCAAACTTGATCTCTTTTTAGCCACCCGGAGGTCTGCTATATGAAGGAAGGTTCCTTGGCTATCTTATTTGGTTTCCTATTCTGTTATGGTGTGAAGTCACACCTGATATTCTTGTTCTTTGTCTTCCTAAGCCCCGTGTGGTACTTGGGGTTCTGGGTCCCGGTCTTTTCCAGCTATCTTAGCTCTTATCTCTGTGGGTTTTAGCTGACTGTTGCTGATGCTTGACCTCCTCTCCTTTACTACACTGTTTTAAAGACAGACAGACAGACAGACAGACAGACAGACAGACAGACAGACAGACAGACAGACAGACAGACAGACAGACAGACAGACAGACAGACAGACAGACAGACAGACAGACAGACAGACAGACAGACAGACAGAAAGAAAGAAAGAAAGAAAGAAAGAAAGAAAGAAAGAAAGAAAGAAAGAAAGAAAGAAAGAAAGAAAGAAAGAAAGAAAGAAAGAAAGAATGAAAGAATGAAAGAAAGAAACTACCAGTACGTCTTAAAACTAGCAATGACTCACGTGCAAAACAACTGTCAACTGATTGGCTGAATCCTAATGTATTCTTGCGTGCAATTTGAACAGTTTCACTCACTAATTTGCAAAGATTGTAAATATCAAAATTATGACACAATTGTGTTCCTTTCAGAGGAGAGTGTGTGTTTGTGTGTATTTGTGTGTGTGTGTGTGTGTGTGTGTTGTTGTTGTTTTTTCCAAGTACAGTTAAACTTCGCCATTGCTAAGGCGTTGCGAGTCCGACTGGTAATTCCAACGCCATCGAAATCCACAGCTGGCTGCGTGGATTTGTATCATGGTATGGGGCGTCGCAGGTCGAACCAGCCTAAAATGGGTACCACGATGAATGTCCTGGGAAAGTAAAGACGGCCGGTGTAATGCTGACCACATTACCCAACTAGTGCCAATAGGAATGTAAAAATATGGGTGCTCTTCCCATATGCTTGATGCGCTAAAAGCGTGAAAAGGAATCTTCACTTTTTTTTTTTTAACTTTACTTACAGTAAAACTTCGATTAACCGCCACCGTCCTGACCCGGGCCATGGCGGATAACTGAAAAGACTTTCACTTACGGCACCGTGATTTCAGTGCAGGCTTGGGCGAAAATGAAAATAAAATCCTTTAAAACGAATAATATTTGCAGTCCTTTTAATTTGACAAAGCGATCAATAAAAACTTCAGTATAAGAGATGTGTAGTCACTTCCGCTGTCATAC